TTGATTAAAAGATGTTTCTGTACATAAATATGTGTATATAATTTTACCATAAAATAATTATCAGTTAAGATTTATTTAATACAAATTGTATAATAGCACTAGAGTGAAGTCATTAAACCGTGCAGCAAAATTCGAGTACTTAAAGTTTGTTTGTCAAACAACGTACCAAGCGTACCAAAGTTAATATTGTAAGTGTAATTTTTGTTTCACGGGTTTTTAGGCTTCACATTTAGGAATATTTCCACGTATATATTTCGTGGATTATAATATAAATTCAATTCAAAGTTATTCCAATTGTTTTTTTTATATATATATGCAAATATAGTTACATTACGACAGAGCATTACGTACGGGTGCGCGTATACGTATTAACTATTATTACGTGAAGAGCTGCTACGTCTTCAACAAATATATCACTTATAAATATAGCAAATGTGCGCATTTTTGAGTCGAATTGTCTGCAAAGCGGTATATAAATTTTAAAATAGAAAACACAGAATACACCTGTGAAGCATGTAGCTACCAAAACAGTTCTGAATAATTCTATTATACTTTCTCTGTTTATAATTGTCCGATCGACACTACTGCTGTTAATGAAACAACGCTAGAGAGAGTAAAGTCACTAAACCCATAAGACTTTACTATTACTTTGCGATAAACACAAAAGCAAAGCATGGAATTAGAACGTATCAATGTGTATTAGTTGAATATCAGTGCATTTCACGGGTTTTTSACTTCGCTCTATATTGCTTGTTTCTCTACTGTTCTCGTGATKAAAACAAAGATGGCAGCATACCACGTCTGCCATATTCGTGTTAATAAAACTGCGGTTCGMGCATTCTACTGATCTCAAGCTGGCGAGCAAACTATGTCTGTTGCCGAAGTATAAGGATGCCAGCCATCCGAATGATAGTACACAGTAGAGCAGTTACTATTGACRGCGAAMACCTCAGCGCCACGAACCATCGGTAGACCATCAAGCCGAGATGCAACTGGGCGAATGCCACCATGTGCACACCGGTCGATGTTTAGGTAGAACTTGACTCCTGGAATCATAGCAAAATAATGCTTGATAACTGCAATCGTAACCAAAAAGCCTGTGATCATAGAATTATTTGTCTCCAGCCTAAAATGTGTCTCCTTTTTTCACAGTTCCCCCCCCTTAACCCTTTTCATCAATGTTGGGTCTTGTTTTGGATGGTTGAGTGCTATGGTAACATGCTCAATGACAACATTGCATTTAGAGGGTCAGAGGGCGTTGTTTAAAATGAGGAAATTCTCTGGAATGGTCCAAGGATTTTGTCAACGATTGTAGGTTGGTAGGTGGGTACAGGGGCAGATTCGAGGGTTTGCTGAGGGTTAGACTCCCCACACCCCTGTATCTATACCAAGGAATAATACTAATTAAAAAGCTATTGTTTCATTGTATASTCAAATGAAAACGATTCTAATATACAATATAGATGGCATAAAGTTTGTTAATTGACCTTATTTGGTAAATACCTTTAAGATGTAATCTGTCAAACTTCAATTTCAGTTTCTTCTTTAGTCTTCGCCATCGGAACTCAATCCCATGTACGCGTGGTCGCTATTAAACAAGACGTCACAACAGATGATGAATAATGCAAACAAATTATTGCTTGATTTTCAGACGGGCCTTGGTCCGATGCTACAATCCCGGTCAAAAGGGTTGAGACAAAGTGATGAAAATAGTGTTTTTATATGTTTACTACTGAAAAAAACCTAATTCAAATCCCCCTTCCCCCCTAAATCAATGTTGTGAGTCGTGAATTATCGGTCTTTCATAAACTACATTCATTCAACTTTGTAATRAGGGGAGCGGGGAGTAGGTAATTGTAGGCATTTAAAAGCAACCTCCCCAAATTTCATTAATTTTAGAGTCGAAAAATGGAATGTCTCAACAAGTTTTGACCGGGATTGTAGCTTATCGGTCGGAGCCACTCTATTCTAAAAATCAGGCTAGACAAATCGTTTCTATTTCGAAGTTGTTTGGGGTGTACACTACAGTTAGAACAAAGATTGTGATTTGATGAAACAACAGAGGGAGACGATGCAATACAAAAAACGAAGATGTCCAGTAGAACAATAGTCATTGTCTGATATAATCCCACAATTCTTTGTTATTGTTGTCTCGATCAATCAAAAGCTTCGTTCTGACGGTAGTGGTCGACCCAGTTCTTTACCTGGAGGTCCGCGGTCTCAAAGGTGAAGTATATGTCACTGTCCTCAATTGATCCACGGCTACATTGGTAATACCGCAACGCCGTACCAGGTGCAAATAATTGGTAGAATAATATAGACAACGCTAAAGCTAACAAGAATCCAATAGCGAGCCACTTTTTACATCCTGTG